ATAAGACTATAAGAGCGAGAAGCAATTTAAATATGTTCAGGGACCATTTTCATCTCCAGAATTAAGGATTATTTTGATGTTACATCATTGCCTTTTCTCTTTTACTTTCCTTTTTAGTTTTATTTTAGGATTCCCTATTTTTAATGTTCATACAGAGATTTCTTTAACTGAAATACCAAATAGTTTCTTTGGTGTGAAAAACTACAATAGTACACAGGATCCTAATGAGATAATTAATAATGTGAAATAAGAAGCAAAGGGCTAAAGGTGTAAGGAAAGTGAGAAGGGTGGGGGAAAGGTAATAAGGGAGAGGAAAAAAATATTAGAAACTGAAAAAATGGAAATAAAGTGTTTGTAAATGAGGAGGGGAGGAGGGGGTGAAGGGAGGGCAGGGACAAGGGGAAGAATGAGAATCAAGACTTATTATGTAAAGGTACAGAATCCCAATGATGAATGTAATTGTATTGTATACCTAGATTGTACCAATAACCTCAATAAAAAGAAAAAGAAAAGAAAACTTGTAGTGTAGTTCAGTGTGCCAGACACTATGGGCTGTGTATCTTTCCTTGATACATTGTTGCAGGCTTTTGTCTTTGAGGAAAAAAAAATGCCTGAAAGCAATAACTGATTGAGTCATGAGGAAGCCTGGTGCAAAACTTCAGTACAAACTGTGTTACAGAATTCATGCTGCCATACAACTTCAGGACAGTGAATTCAAAGTAAATCTTTTAATACTTAGTAGAAACCAGAGGGGGAGTATATAGAAATGTATTCCAGGTACTGTATGCAGCTCACAAGCAAATCCTGGAATTAGATCAGAAATTCTGGGTTCTTTCTTTTTCAAGAACCTTTCCAAAAATTGCTTTGTAAGAAATAGGATTGGAACATTTAGATGTAAAAGAGTCAAATGTTGTTCAAGCCTGAGCCATGAAATCATCTTGGGTGATAAAGCATAATGCAGCACTACTGTTATCTGGCGGGAAAAATCACCCACTTCACACATGAAGCAAATTTTTGTTTCTCCCATGGTCATGCAATAGCTGGAAAATTCACCTGTGACCTTCTATTTGACTACTTTCTTTTATAACTATAATTCCCCAACCCATCTTGCTACATGCAGCCATTACTGGGGGCCCTAATTCTTAAGCTGCTCTTCTGTCATGGCACACGTCACACCCAGTGGTTCCCCATCTTAGCTCACCTCAATAGATATCAACCCATCCAGGATGAATCCAGGCTTCCCATAGCGGTCCCTGAGGTCACTCACAGGGAACTCAGACCTCTCCTGACTCTTTATTAGACAATCATACAATGGCTCCTGCATGGTACCTTCCCTGGCCACGGGAATTCAGGTTTCAATTAATCCACACTGACCTTTAACATGGATGAGATATATAGTGATTTTAACAAGAACAATGGTGTTGCTGGTAGATAAGAATAATATTTGTGTAGAAAATTTAGATGTTTGAACACTGGTCATCCAGATGACATGTGAGGGTACTTAGAGTCAACCACAGAGATTGCCAGAAAAAAGGGGATAGTGTCCCAAATATCAGGATCATTACACACACTGTGTCTGTCCTCTATACTTCAGTGAACTTCTAGGGTATGATCTGTTTTTCACAGATACAGATAATCATTACTTGTGCTTTATTGGACCCAACGTATCCTGTGTATGAGGAAGAAATGGTTGTGAACCTTGTCAAGGGAACAATCTTCCTCTCTCCAACTGTACTTGGCATTCTGGGGAACGTCTTTGTGTTTGTGAATTACATGCTCATCCTTGGAGGCAGTGAGAAGAAATCTATACACTTTATTCTCCTCCACTTGGCTTTTACAAATATCATCATGCTTTTTGCAAAACGGATTCCTAAGACATTAGCAGCTTTTGGGCAGAAAATCTTCCTTGATGACACAGGCTGTAAGACTGTTGTTTACCTGGAGCGAGTGGCCCGGGGCCTGTCCATCTGCACCAGCGCTCTCCTCACGGTAGTCCAGGCCATCACCATCAGTCCCACAGACTCAGTGTGGAGGAGACTCAAGCTAAAGACTCCACAGCACACCCTTCTCATATTTGTCTTCTTTTGGATTCTCAATTCCTTAATAAGCATGAACTTACCATTTTCTATCATAAACATCAACAGTGTGAACATATCACAAATTAGTAAAGGTGACAAGTATTGTCATTTTCTCCCAGAAAGCTGGACAACAAGATGGACCTTTCTCACTCTCATGGTCCTGCGTGATGCTGTGTTTCAGTGCACCATGGGTGGAGCCAGTGTCTACCTGGTATTTGTTCTCCACAAGCACCACCAGCGGGTTCTCCACCTGCAGCAGGCCAAGCTCCTCTACAAAACTCCACCTGAGATCCAAGCTGCTCAAAGTGTCCTCCTTCTGATGCTGTGTTTTCTTTTCTTTTATTGGGCAGATTGTGCTTTTTCTCTATTTCTTAGTTCCTCTCTCAATCTTCATTCCATGATACTAAATATTCAAGAATTTCTGACCCTTGGTTATGCAATTCTGAGTCCATTTGTACTGATTCACAGAGATGGACAACTGAGTGGATGTCTTCACAGTCAGGAGGACAGAAAAATGCACAGAAATTATCTCACTGATCTTTTCTGTAAATAAGTTTGAAAGAAATCCTAGTTCTGCTATCCTGTATGGAAAGAAAAACAGAGTCCAAGCACCTAAAATACATCAGGATTCCTGGTCAGACAACAATCCAGGTGACCTCAGCACTCAGCTGACACAGAGGACATGGAAAGCTTCAGTGTCACAGCATTCTCACCTTCTGCTCTGCCCCCTCAAATATGGCTTTAAATCTATTATTGTGAGAGTGGTATTTCACTACTAGTTTTCTTCTTGTAGGGATCAGAATCACAATTTGGTAAATTCTATCCAAATAATTAGTGCATCCACAGTTTTTTCCAAGATTCCATTTATAGGTTAGTTTTACAGATGTATTTGCTTTTTATAGTAGGAAAAATATAGAACATTTTTTACTGTTCATTAGTTCATAAACCCAACCTAAATAGTAGCAAAAGAGCTTTCCATGACTACTTGAAAATCCCCAAAAAGTCCATCCACAGAAAAAGCTTTTATGCAATTGACGCACTATGGTGAGATCACAATATATTAAGAAAGACATACAATGTAGAATTGTAACACACTAAAGGCATATGGATGAGTAATAGCATTTAAAATGTCATAAAATACATTATATTTATTTTATATACATGATGACTATCTAGAAAAATAAATGTCAAACTATAAATTTGACCAAATGATTCCATCACACATTTCAATATCATTTTATTACTCTCCATATTTACTCAGCTCTAAAAATAGGATTTCATCACTTTCTAAGAGCAGTAAATAAATTATTTCTAAATAAACTGTTGGCCTGTTTGTAGACATCATTTGTTAGAGTGCTGGTACTCCTCACAAGGCTATTATTTTATTTATCATCAGAGAACTGCAAATGATCTGATTTTGTGTTAATTTAAGTGAAGAATTCAGCTCTCAGTTGCTTAAAATGGAACCATTCTATACAGGTTGTTCAGTAGAATACATATTTCAAGCAATGTGACATCTGATGAGGTCTTTTTAAAAATTGTCAATGAGGTTTTACAGGCTCAAAGCACAAAATCTTGAAAGTGATAGAGGTAAGTGAATGCTCCAGTTTTAGAGAGTGCTTCTATGGTATCATATTTTTGCTGAAGTATACATTGCAGCTTATGACTATTAGTTAACCACAGTTAATTTTTCACCTTTCTTTGTTGGACTGTGTCCATACAATTTTAAAACATGAATGCCAGGGTGTTGATGAAACTTAGATATATATGGGGAGACAATAGTGAATAAAGAAGAGACAGAAACTATATTCAAAGTATAAAGTGGGCTGGGAGGTGCTACCTCTAGTGTACAAACTCAATAGACTCTACGCTTGACTCACTAGTATTAGCCAGCAAGAAATGCAGTGTAGTGCACTTTTCCTGGAACTGGAACTGCAGTAAGAATGGGGCTATAAAGAAGAAGTTAATCTTCCCAAAAGAAACAGAGTAATGGGGATTAATACCTTCTGCAGACCTGGATTCCTGCACTCCATTGCACAGTCCTCAGCAGTAGCTCTCCAGAGGAGCACAGACTATGAGCTTTCACCACACAGTCATGCAGGCTTCCACATATTTCACTATTCCTAAAGTAAGTGACACCAACTTCAGGACTGTGGGGCCTAAGTCATGTAGCTCTCCAACAGATGAAATTAATAACGCAGCATTCTACCGTAATATGTGAAAGATCTGGTCTTCCTAATATACCAGTGGGTTGCTTGGTGACAGGAGTACATAGTTTATGTTTCACAGCTTTTTTATGAAAACAATTTCCTATTACCTAACAAAGCACAACAAAACAAACACTTCTAAATTACCCATTGCTATTTAATTCAAAGGAAGATATATCAGCACCAGGAAATGGAATTAAGGATGGTGTGTTAAACATAATTATGAGGCAGGGGTGCTGCTATATTCCCAGTGTTGCAGAAGGAATTGTGAAGTGACACACACACAGAGAGATGCAGAATGGAAGTAAAATAATAAAAGGTTTATGTTGTCAACAATAGGCTGATCACACTAAGAGGAGTGCCAGTGATCCACCCATACTGGTTTGTAGCTTCTTCTTTTATAGGTTTTACAGCCATGATCTCATTTAGGTGGTTACATTTCATTTCTTCAGTTCACATTACCCATGCACAAATTACAGTAACAACACAGTTAACTTTAACCCAGACACAACAATTCCTTGTACTTAGGGAGTTTACCTTAAGATTCATCTAGCTATCTATTCTAGCACACAGGAAGAGGGTGTACAAGGTCAGGGATGAGGCCAGATGTCCCATTTCATGGTCAATGCTTCCAATGTGTTTTAATTTTGAAATAAACTAAGCAGATTGCTGTGAGAAACAGCAGAAGTCACTTTACATTTTTCTAATGTTTTGTAGGTTTTTAGGTTATTTACAAAAGTTCTCTCCATTGCTCCAGCTTGAACTCAGGGCCACCTCTGCTGCATGGCCCAGCCTGAACTGCAGGCCTGCTCTGGAGCCACGCCATTTCCAGCAGGCACCACTGATTGGCTCTGACACAGCACCAGGAGGGTAGCCATGTGGGGGCCACTGAGCACCGTCACCCTGCCCCGGCTATTACATCTCCTGATTGAGCCAGTCCTTGGATGCACTCTGCAGAGGCATGGCAGGCTATAAAGGGTAGTGATTGATCCTATTATGTTCCTGATTGTATCAATAGGGATAAAGGATAGGGATTGATTTGATGAGTTGTTTTCTCAATTATGAAAATGAGAATGTCTATAAGTTATTAGAGAATCAAAGACTGGGATGCAACGATATCAGGAAGATTTAATGACCCAGAGATTGAATCAAGGGCAACCCAACAGCAAAAATAAAGATGAGAAAACACTTAAGCAAGCCACAAAAACAGACTTCCAGTCCACCAATGGCAAACAGTAGGGCAAAGAAGGATGAAAAATCAGATAGTGAACCTCCAGGACACTCAGAACTCACAGCACAGGAAGTAAAAAAACTGATCAATGAAGCTCTACAAAAATTCAAAACAGAAATTATTTCCCAGATAACTATAGAGATAGTGAGCAAAATGAAAGACATGACTCGAGACTCCAGAACAGAAACTGACAAAAAAATAGATGAGCTTAGGAACATAATAGAAGCCATGAAGGCCCAGCATAAGAAAGAAATGGAAACAATGAACACCCAACATAGGAAAGAAATGGAATCCATTAAACAGATTCAAAAGGATATTCAGGAGATTAAAAACTCTATTGAAAGCATACACAACAGAATAAAAGATTGAGAAGATAGAATCTCAGATATAGAAGATAGGATAGCAGACAGTGACCATGAAAAGAGAGGTCTCTTAAAAACAGTAAGGGAGCATGAGAAATCGATCCAACAACTCCTAGATGATACAAAGAAGAATAACATAAGACTGATAGGTATCCATGAAGTACCAGGAGAAAATGCAAATGACTTTAAAAAGCTGTTCAAAGAATTAATAACAGAAAACTTCCCAAACAGAGGGGAAGAATTAGACATACAGATAAGCGAGGCATATAGGACACCAACTAGCCAAGATAAAAAAAATCTACACTTAGGCATATAATAATCAAGATCCCAGAAACCCAACAGAAGAACAAAATACTACAAGCAGTAAGAGAAAAGAAACAAATCACATGCAAAGGAAAACCCATCAGAATCACAGCAGACTTTTCAACACAAACCCTCAGGTCAAGGAGAGCCTGGAGTGAGGTATTTCAAGTCCTAAAAGAAAACAACCTACAACCAAGGCTGATGTATCCTGCAAAATTCTCTTTCAAAATGGATGGAGAAATAAGATACTTCCATGACAAAGAACACTTGACAAACTTCATGAATACTAAACCAGCACTAGAAAGAATTTTAAACAATATCCTATAAAAAGGCAATGAAGATCACAATACCAGGAGGCCCAACAGAGCAAATCAAATAGCCAAGGCAAGAAACTAAAAGGAGAGGACAAACAATAAAAAGAGTCAACAAAAGGACAATAAGATGACAATAATAAGTCAGTATATATCAGTTATAACTATAAATATCAATGGCCTCAATTCACCAATCAAGAGAAATAGATTGGGAGAATGGATTAAGAAGCAAAAATCCAACAATATGTTGTATACAAGAAACACACCTAGTGCAAAAAGAAGTCCATAGACTGAAAGTGAACGGATGGAAAACAATTCTCCATGCGACAGGAGCCCAGAAAAAAGCAGGGGTAACAATCTTATTTTCAGACAAAGCAAACTTCAAAACAAAACTGATTAAGAGAGACAAAGAAGGCCACTACATCCTTGTAAAGGGAATGATCCAAGAGGAAGAAATGACAATCATAAACATATATGCACCAAATATAAATGCCCCCAACTATATAAAACAAATATTAAGTAACATGAAAAACCAAATAACCACTAATACAATTGTAGTGGGGGATCTGAATAGCCCACTACCACAAATAGACAGATCATCTAGGCAAAAAATTAACAATGAAATATTAGAACTGAACCAAACTTTTGAACATATATACTTATTAGATGCCTGTAGAGTGTTCCACCCCACAAAATCAGAATATACATTCTTTTCAGCTGCACATGGGTCATTCTCCATGATAGATCACATACTAGCTCACAAAACAGTTTTGAGTAAATGCAAAAGAATTGAAGTTATTCCTTGTATATTATCAGATCACAGTGCAGTAAAGCTGGAGATAATAGCATAAGAAACCGTAGGAACTTCACAAACACATGGAAATTTAACAACACTCTCCTGAACAATCAATGGCTCACAGAGGAACTTAAAGAAGAAATCAGACAGTTTTTACAAATAAAC